TCTCTCTCTATAAAGAACTTATGTACAAGGATAAAAACTTATTTATTTTTTTTCTTTCAGTATTACATGACTTTTATATAACAAATAATTTTTATATAAAGAAAATGTATTAGATATATGAAACAGTATATAGCTGTGTTTTGAAACCCCACATACCTTTTTTTCCCTTCAGAAAACACAAAAATCTAGATTTGGTCAACCTTGTTACAAACGTGGAAACGAAAGCATTGGAAAACTCACTTCTCAGTGCATTGTCTACAAGCAGCCTTGATGTTTTTTGCAGAATAGTACAGTTATATTCATTATTGATTCAAATGGACGGCAGATGTTCTAGCCTAGGGTGCTGTTTAAACATGCAATGTAATGTATAATGCAGATTTGAATGCAGACACACAAAGCGCCTGACAGTTTAAAGCGTGATGGACTGCAGCCAGATGCTTGGGTTATCTGAACACGCTCTGCTTCAGATCATCTGAGTGATTGACAGGGATCTAATGGGATCGTAGTGTGTGGAGACACTTGAAAAGTCATCCTTTTTCTACTGACTCTCAACTCTGAGTGGGTGGGCTGCCAGCACACAAAACTCCAGAAACAACTTTAACTCAACAGCAACCTCCGGGCGAAAGCGCTCTGGGCAGCTTTATGGGGCACAGCCTCTCTGCACCAGTCAGGCCCTGAATGAAACATTAGTTTGGCTGCTTGTTTGTGTTATAAATGATGCAAGCGAACAAATGAGAGTCTGTGCTACCTGCATTAGAGCAGTTTTATTTTTTTCGCACTAAAATCTACAGGCCTAGTATAATGCATTTTAAAAACACATTCCTGTGGAATATTTAAACATGTTTTTCGTTGCTTTTTTTTTTTTTTAACAAAGCCTGATATAAAAGCCCAATACTTTTTTAAATGTCAATTTTGTTAGTGTGCCAGATCTTTTCAGTTCTTAATCAATTTAAAATATGAATGTGTTTTCCCCCCCAAATGTGAATATGTCTTGATAATGAGCATGCTTGAAATTGAGATCAGTCTGAAGAAAAATAAATTTCGCACTAAAATTTAAAGGCCTAGTTAAATGCATTTTAAAAACACATTCCTGTGGAATATTTAAACATGTTTTTCGTTGCTTTTTTTTTTTTTAACAAAGCCTGATATAAAAGCCCAATACTTTTTTAAATGTCAATTTTGTTAGTGTGCCAGATCTTTTCAGTTCTTAATCAATTTAAAATATGAATGTGTTTTCCCCCCCAAATGTGAATATGTCTTGATAATGAGCATGCTTGAAATTGAGATCAGTCTGAAGAAAAATAAAATCAAGGTAAATATCACTTTTTATCGTCCATCGTTTACAAGCAAGCTGCAGTTTTGTCAAAATCACACAAAAACTGTGAAATAATTATTATTGTAATGATGATACGGGTTTAACAGAAAAATGCTGTAAGCACAACTAATTTTACCTTATTTTCAAACACGGAAGTACGCATATTTTCTGTGAAAGTACAATACGATTCATTCGCCACTTAAACAACAGGGCTCTTCAGCTCGGCTCCTGGAGGGCCGGTGTCCTGCAGAGTTTAGTTGCAACCCTAATCAAACACACCTGATCAAGCTATCGGTGCGTTCCAAACGGGATATATCGCCCTCCGAAGGGCACTTCGGAGTGAAAACAATCATAGCCGCCATATTGAAGGGTCGTTCCAAACCGAAGTGCTCAAAACTGGCCACTTCAATGTTTGGTCCCGTACACCCTTCAACCCTTCGAAGCTCTCACTCCGGAGGGTAAACCCTTTGAAGGGATTAGGGCATAAGGATGAGCCTTTCCGAATGGAACGCAGGGTATAATTCAGGACTAGCCTATTTACAAATGATGAACAGGTGTGTTGAATAAGTGTTGGAAGTAAACTATGCAGATCACTGGCCCTCCAGGACCGGAGTTGACTAGCCCTGAACTACAATAACAAAGTGCAGTAAATGTTAAAAGTACTTGCGCTGCAAACCAGTGTATTTATAATTACAACAATAAATATGATAAGAAATAGGCTACCTGTTTCCAATATCAAGCAGCATAACGGACTGTTTTGTACAATAAAAAAACTGGAAGCAGATGACACCGGAAGTATCTTTTTTTTTAAATTAACCAATTAATTAACAAATACAAATACAACATAAGAGAGCATCAGAAAAGAACAAAGATAATTGCCAGGGTAAAGAAATCCCAAATTTAACCCAAAATAAAGCGATTAATAATAGGATAATAAAAACTGAAATTAAAAAGGCAAATAAATAAATACACACTATAAAAGCATATATAGTAATAAATAAATGAATAAATCTTTTAAAGGGGATCTTAAAAAAAGCACAACCAGTATTTTTCGATACAGACACCGGAAGTCTCGCACATTCAAGCCTCCGGCGCTCAAACGTTTTGCACTGTTTTGTCGGGGCTGAACGCAGCCCAGGCCTCACCATTTTTGGGGGACAGTAGGTTTTTAGTATTCTATACTCGGAAATGTAACTTTTACAGCACGTTCAAAACAGTCCGCAAATACAGTGCAAAAAGGCACGACAATCAATAACAATGAAAACCCCTATAACAATGAAAACACGGATTCTAGGAACACAAGTATAGCTCAAATATATTTAGACTTTTTCTAAGTAGGCTATAAGTCAAGTATACTTAAATGTCATTTTAAGTATATTTCTGAGAAGTACATAAAGCCCATTTCTGAGAAGTACTCTTCTGAGAAGACTAAAAGTATACTTTCCTATTTTTTTATTTAAAAGAAGTATACTAATAGCACACTTGAATAAACTTCTTTTTCGTAAGGGTGATCACAAGTCAATTGTCATAACTTACATCTTTCTTAACTGTACCACCTTTGAAAGTACAAAAATAACCAACTAAAGCAAAAAATCAAAATAAGCTTACATTTCCTTTATTTTCAAAAGCACAAACATAACATTTGAAGATGTTACTATAGGCTACTGTATGCAGTAACGTTAGCCTATATTTAGTTTGTGAAATAAGAAGTAAGAAAGATGAAAACGTTAAATACAGTTAGAAAATGTTAAAATATAATACAACGATACAGTTTGTTGCATTTTATTTTTTTTATAAGTCATACTTTTGTTAAAATACTGTTTGCTATTGACAATGCTTACTATTTAGGCTACTGTTTTTCACAGAGTGATGTCTAGTAAACTGTAGCTTATTTAAATCTCTTAGGGTTTGATCATTATTAATTATCCTACAAAACAAGTATTGTGTTGTCCCCCTTAGTGAGATTTCAATTACATTTTTACCACTAAATTAGTAGATGTCCCTGGTTTCCATTTCAGAAATTTGGTCACCTTAGTATATCAACACCTTAACTGAAAACAGTTTAAATACTTTAGCAACTGCATTGTAGCACCCTAGCAACCACTAGTGTGTTTTGCATGGAAAACGCCACTCAGATTGTCCTCTGAAAATACCCTGTTAAAGATTTTGTTACCCAACAAGAGAAAGCAATCGAACTGATTTATCAATTAGACTTTTTGCACAGTGCATGTATTTGAGAAAACAAATCAAATTGAGGGAACCTGGTGGAATTCATTTGGCTTTATTGATTGTGTTATTGATACGGTTCTGCTGGCAGTCGTGATTTGATAGCACATGTTGATGGCTGCTGTGTTGGTGGGAGCAGGACACAGGTGTCCTCGTCTTGTGCTTCTGCAAATATCTCTCTCCTCCTCCAGTCATGATTGGGCTGATGCGAGCGGATGGATGATAGCACCGCTGTGGAGACGGTTGAGTGGGTTCGATATCTGCCACATTACTCTTACTCATGCCTAAATTTCAGATCAGTGAGCAGCAAGTACGGGGGTGAATCTAAAGGTTTTATGTCCTATGCCGCTCACTTACACACACCAAACTCTGGAGAATTCACAAAGGGGTGGCCACTCATTTCTCTCAAAGCATAAACAAGTGTATAGGGTCATTTTCTATTCAAAATGACAACAATATTTTTCTTTACACATTGTTTTCTAAAAGGTTTAAAACTAAAACCATAAAACAACTTTTGTTACTTGAAAAAAAATAAAGAATGTCAACTGGAAAAACTCAAAGAAACAAACGAAAAACATTTTATTTCAGCTACATTGTAAAAAAAAAATATGTAAAACTTGATGTATCAAAATAAAACTGAAATATAAATTATAAAAACTAGACACACACACACACACACACACACAAACACACATACATATATATTTCTGTCATGACCACTCTTGGAGGGATTGGCATGGTAATGTACATGACAATGTTAATGTATTTGGTCTTGGCGGAATAGATCTGCTACGCTGCTGCTGCGGGCAAGTACCTGCTGAGCAAGTACCGAGACTGGCTACTGCCAATACATCCACAACATGCTGCTGACAAAACTACTAAAACTTTAAAAGTAAAATGAAAATGGCAAATTATAAAATATTAAAAACTAGAATATTATCTCCAAAATATACCAAAATAACTCTTGATTTCTTAGACTTGTCATATATGCATTCATACATATTGCTAATTTTATGCATTTTATGTGTGGAATTTGCTTTACTTTTTTTCAGATCTAGATTTTAAATCTTAAAAATATGACAATTCATTATAAGATTATAAGACTTCATTATTAAAACAATGATCTAAATCAGTGGTCACCAACCTTTTTAGGCCCAAGATCCCTGACCTCGGCCTTTATGAAAGACAAGATCTACCTATTGACTAAACTTTTCTCAAGACAGTTCCCTTCAGTGATACATTAATATAACCCCAGAAATGTAATGCATTTTTGTACTTATTTTACTGTTTTTTTCGGGATCTACTGGGACAGTGATAAAAATCTACCAGTCCATCGCGATCGACGGTTGGCGACCACTGATCTAAATAAAGCAACATAAACATGAACCATATCAATATCAACTGTTATTTCTATAATTTTTTAAACAAACAATGACAGTCTCTCAGTCACACATTTCTATCACAGCCAAAAAATTTCCTCCTAATAAAATGGCATTTTATTTTTTTCAGAAGTTGGGGAATGTGTGTTCATGACTGTTCATCCAATCTTTGTCCATGGAGTGCATATCTTCAGATGAAATGATCTGTGAAGGATACAAAGAAAAATCAAGGTAAATAACCCTTTTCATTGTCCATTATTTCCAACAAAACCGCAATTTTGTCAAATTCACACTACCAAAAAAAAAAAGAATGAAACATGACAATTCCCACATACTCACTGCTGGACATTATTAGTGGACAAATTAAACTAGAAGGTATGAAAGTGTTTTTAAAGGGTTAGTTCACCCAAAAATGAAAATTAGCCCATGTTTTACTAACCATCAAGGCATCCTAGGTGTATATGACTTTCTTCTTTCAGACAAATCCAATCGGAGTTATATTAAAAATGATCCTGGCTCCCTCAAGCGTTATCATTGCAGTAGATTGGTGTTTCTGTTCAACAGTCCAAAAGAAGTCAAATAATGCACATCCATCCATAATAAAACGTGCCTCACACAGCTCTGGGAGGTGAATAAAGGCCTCCTGTAGCGAATCGTTTCTTTTTTTCTAAGAAAAATATCCATATTTAAAATGTTATAAACACTTTTCTCTCACTTCCGCTGACTGTCATACGAGCAAGCCGTTCCGGCGGATGACGTAGGACGTATGCATCGCGTGCGCGCGCGCCTCTGAGAAATACTAGTCTCGTGAGTTTGTTTACAGGAGTTTTTTTTTTAACAAATCCTCATTTTGTGCTTCTAATTTGTGACTGTCTCTCCTCCACGCTTCCGCGTTCGTCACTAATCACCGCCGCGTGCGTGACGCGTACGTCCTACGTCATCCGCTGGAACGGCTTGCTCGTATGACAGATAGCGGAAGAGGGACCGTTATATAATGAATAATATTAGATTAGTTTTAGACTCATTGGATTATAGTGATTTGCTGGAACATAATAGTTTTATTCTTTTCCTGGATTTTTATAAAACTTTTGATTCAGTTGAACGTAAATTTATATTTAAATCAGTGGAAAATTTTGGTTTTGGTGAATATTTTTGTTAGGCAGTAAAAACTATATTACAGCTGTAGTAGCACAATTCAATTAAAATATGGTACTTCTCCTAGATTTTACTTGTCACGTGGTATTAGACAAGGGTGTCCATTATCCCCTTATTTATTTTTACTAATTTCCCAGATATTCGCTTCTTATATTTCTAATAGTGGTCTTCATGGTATCTCTATTGCTGATACTCATCAGTCAACTGGCTGATGACACCACACTTTTTTTGCAAGATGCTAACCAAGTTCCTCTAGTAGCACTAAAGTATATCCAACAATTCTCCAAAGCATCAGGCCTGTTCTTGAACCACTCAAAGTGTGAACTGTTGTCCATCAAAGAATGTAATTTGTCAGAAATTTGTAATATTCAAATCAAAGATCAGGTATCTTATTTAGGTGTTATTATAACAAAAAAATGAATTAGAGAGATGCTCCTTAAATTTTAATCCATTAATTGAGAGTACTCAGAAAAAACTGAATATGTGGCTCCAGTGTGATCTCTCATTGAAGGGAAGAATCAAGGTTAACATTTTTGTTTGTCAAGGTTAACATATGCTGCTCTCTCTTTAAATGTTGACACTGCCATTCTTAAAAAGAATTGATACAATGCTGCTCAACTTTGTTTTGGAAGAATAAAACTCATTTTATTAGAAAATCTGTACTTATGAACACCATTGAGAAAGGGGGTTTAAACTTTCTTGACTTCACTACTTTAAACAACACCTTTAAAATAAATTGGATAAAAAAAACTGTATCAATAAGCCCTCATCTATATGGAATCTGATCCCTAATGTTGTCTTTTCCAAACTAGGTGGTTTAAGTTTCTTATTAATCTGTAACTATAACATCATGAAAATCCCTATCAAATTATCTCTTTTTCATAGGCAGATGTTATTAGCTTGGTCCCTTATTTTTAAACACAATTTTACACCTCACTCTTATCTAATCTGGAATAATAAGAATCTACTGTATAAACACAAATCTCTTTTTTTTTTTTTTGAAAATTGGTTTAAAAATGGTATTATTTTTGTGTCTCAACTTCAAATCAAAATGGTTCAATCTGTAATTACTCTGAGTTTTTAGTTAAGCATGGAATTCCTGTTAGTCCGAAAGAGTTTACAATTGTTGCTGATGCAGTGCCACATAGAGTTCTCATGCTTTTTAGAGGTCTTTCTTTTCCAATCTCCTGTCACTCAGTGGATCATTGTAAAACATTTGTAGGAAAACAGTGCCTTTCGTCATCTAAATAAAAAAAACAGTAAGAAAATCAGAGTTTTGTTTCAGATGGAGTCTATTTCTGTGCCTTATGTAATCTCTTATTGGAATGGTTTCTGATATTCCCTAGAAGAAAGTTTGGTCATTACTTCACAAATATTGAATTACTAACAAAATGAGAGAAATTACATTTAAGTTGATTCATAGAATTTACCCGGATAAGTGCTCTTTTAAAAGACTTAAGAATGATATTAATACCAACTGTTCTTTCTGTTTAGAAAACCCTGAAACTTCTTTACATTTATTCTGGAATTGCTCCTACACAACATCATTCTGGTGTGATATTCTTGATTTTATCAAATGTTATGTGAATCCTAATTTTGAGTTGACTTATAGAAATGTAATTTTTGGCTTTCATGAATGTGAAAGAAAAGGTGATACTTATTTCATGAACCTTATTTTCCTGTTAGCTAAATATCATATTCATAAATGTAAATTTTCTAAATGCAAACCTCTTTTTTTTAAGATTCAAACTTGAAATGAAATTGTATTTTGAATCTATTGAGTGAACTTGAAAGCAATAAGAACAATGGCTTTACTAAAGGACTTGGCACTTCCTCTGGACTGAAAGACTGAATGACCCTGGACTCTTGATGTATTGTTATGATTTGACAATGATGACAATTGTTATTGTTTTTTCAAGCATTTAATAAAAAAAAAAAAGACAGATAGTGGAAGTGAGAGAAAGTGTTTATAACATTTTAAATATGGATATTTTTCTTACAAAAATACATCGATTCGCTACAGAAGGCCTTTATTCAACCCCCGGAGCCATGTGAGACATGTTTTATTATGGATGAATGCACTTTATTTGACTACTTTTGGACTGTTGAACAGAAACACCTACTGCCATTATAAAGTTTAGAAAGCAAGGATAATTTTTAATATAACTCCGATTGGATTCGTCTGAAAGAAGAAAGTCATGTGCACCTAGGATGCTTTAAAGGGGTCATATGATGCCCATTTTCCACAAGTTGATATGATACTTTAGGGTCTTAATGAAAAGTCTGTAACATAGTTTGGTTAAAATTTCTCAATGGTAGTGTAAAAAAAACACCTTTTTTACCCTGTCAAAAATGGCAATTTTCAGATCAAGCCGTTTTTGTAGCATTTTCCTTTAAATGTTAATGAGCTCTGCTGACCCCGCCCCTCTCTTCCGAGCTGCTCTCAGAGAGACTGTTTACTTTAGTTTCATCGTGAAACTTGCTAATAACTAGCACATTATTAGGAAAGGCGATTTGCAAAGATTCATT